AGGGACAGCGGTTACTGGAGACTGCCCAAGCCCTCGTTTGTTCTACTAAAGCGTCCTCACCAACGGCCAGTGTGGGTATCTACATGAATCAGAGTAAAATGTTTGAGGACATCAGTGGCCGAACCCGGGCCAGCACGGACACTTCGATGGTAAGGGTACGGCAATATTTAAGTCCACAAAGTATAACTACTTACAAACGACAAGTAGTGCACTTTTTTAGAACTTGTATAGATTGCAATTTTTCATTTGCATTGAACTGGCGCAGAACAGGCACTAAAATGAGCACTTCACTTTCCCCAAAACAGTCACCAGAATCATTTTGATAAAGGTAATTGCTTTTGCAAAGTATAGTCCTAACTTTAACGCCTTCCACGTCTCTGGCTAACCCCCTGCACTCGAGCTCTGACACGCGTAACAGACACCCTCAAAGCAAATCGTCCTCGGAGCTCGCTAATGACGCGAAGAGAGAAAAAAGGCAGGTAAATGAATGGCCGCGACCGAAGGCCTATTGAGAGACGAATCACCATGCTTTTGAAATTACAATTTTTAAGGCGCCGAACGAACACATCTCCAGCAAATTATAATTGTGGTGTTATCTGGAACTAGCCGGGATCCTTGGGCATACGCTTGGCGTATAGCACCTGCCTTATTGCAACTATTACAGAAATTTCTCACCGAGGACATAACCAGAGGGGTATTTGCAGTCCTGTTATTGGATTGCGAGCGATAGTGACGAGTCCCTCAACTGCCAGGTGATACTGCAGCCAAAGTAAGATCTTGAGACTTGTTCGCGTCTAGTACGGATCCGGAGCGATAATGAATTCGCGAACAACTTCTTGCTGTTTCTCATAAATAATCGCCAAGACAATGATGACAGAATGACTGAATAAGGTGGAAGATGAGTGCGGTGCTGGGCAACGTAATTAAGACGACGGACACCCGAATAATCATCGCCACAACAATCACCACCACCACCACCACCACCACCACCACCACCACCACCACCACCGACAGTGGGAGCAACGAACCTACAAATGATGATGGCGGTGGGACTAACTCATGCGTCGGACTTCTGCATGTGATGGCCATTCGCTTTAGAGTACGTTGCGAAAAAGCGAACCGATTTGTCCGACTTCCCAAATTGGAACTTGATATATATTCGGCTAAAACGCACAACCGTTATGGTCGAAAACCGACAGCACAAAATACTGCTTGTAGGCTAAATGTCTAATGATTCTGACCGTTTTTCCGCTGAAGAAGATCTGTCTCCACCCCGACGCTGGGATCAGCCAGCGCGTTAGTTTGAATAAGCCTCTCATCGTATTTTTATGGATTCGCGTGGTTGAGTTTTTCGTGGCGATGTTTTGGGATTGCAATGTCCATCGATTGATATGAGGGGAAGCTAAGAGACAGTAAGCGAAGACGGCCTACTTGTACCTAGAAACAGTGGCCTGTGCGACCTTTCTCTTTACCAAATAACACTCTGCTCACACAAGTGTTGCTCGGCACAGTCTGGGTCAAAAGTCCCTGACTAATCAACGGATAAGAGTCAAGTGCACTTCAGGAAGTTTTACTGTAAACTTACGCCTAACAACGCATTCCCTCCCCTTGCACAATGAGCTTCTGCACATTCGGCAAGATATACGCAAGCATTAACCGACAAAATCAACATGGAAACTTTGCGAAAATGACTAAAGGCTCCCTTTTCCCACCTTTCAGAGCAGTTCATCTTGCGCAAACTCGTCTCCCATCTCGACAGCCTCCTCAAGCTACGAGAAGGTGATCAAGGTGGAGTAGCCTGCCAGCCCGCGTTTATGTGTACATATAGATACGCCTCTACCTATTGTACCATTCCATCTTCGGTTTTTTTCTCTTGAAAATCAAACAAACAGCCCCCTCCCGCCTCCTCCTGTCGCCACGCACGCCGCACATTTCTTACCTTCCTCTTAGCTCAACCGCCCGCCCTCTCCTCCCCCAACATGCATTCACTTTGAATATTTTCTTCATTTGAATAAAATGTACTTGCAGTAATAAAACTGATTTGGTCAGCCGATGGTGAAACCCCCGTTCTCAGAAGAAGATGGAAACACAAGTATCTAGGGCGGTTTGTCCAAGGTTTTCTCCTCCAAAGCGTGAAGCCGGGCTTGAGGTACCCGGGTCCACGAACGTAATTAATTAGCCGAATACCAGTTTCTGCTACTATCGAGGTAGTAGCTAGGAGCCTGCATCGGCGTCTTGCAGATCTTATCAGGAGGACAGGAACCCCGTCCCTCCCCCTCCCCCTGCCCCAACACAAAGCCTACCAGTTGGCCTGCCTGCGGGTTGACTCCAGCGCGTTCACAGGTGGTGGACCAGTGGAACCACATTCAACAAAAGTTGACTGTGGGATAAGCAGGCTCTCGGCTGAGACGAATAGGCACTTATGGAGCATTATGTGTTGCTATCTTCTGGCCTGACTTGGGACTGATCTGACAAATCGATAACCTGCACAGCATCGTAAACCACAGCGACGCTTCAACAGGGCGAGCGATGGTCACCATCCAGCAAGACTTCAGCCTCCATTCTCCGGCGCCATCCAAAAGTGGTTTTCTGAAGGTGTAGATGGGGACGTCCAGCTTCGAATTCAGGAGCTAGAGTAAACCTATCATAGCACTCAACTTCGATCTCCTAGTTGACCGCATTTTTGGACTACCAACTTGGGATGGTAGGAGCGTTCTGAGTAAACTTACAGAAAACCAGCAGCCCAGAGAGAATCAGTTTCCGACTAACAGAAAAAAAACGAAATCAAAGAGGCTCTGATATTTACCCGCAAGGATTTCGATTCGGCAGTGGGTCTACTAGTGGCGTCTACAGTGAGTGACCGATCTCTTGAAATGTTGGCCGAAATTCTGAAATGCGTATTCGATTAGGAAGAATTACTTAAGTGAAGCTGTAGTATTGACTAACACGCGGTGTTAGAGAACTGCCATCGCCTACCAGGTCGCGGGGACCATGGTTTTCTGATGCTGACATACAGTGCGTGCCCGGTCTCATGAAATGTTGGCCGAAACTTTGAAGGGTTAGTTAGGTGGGCTTGTCATATTAATTAGCATGCGGCATAATCCTATAGCATTTCAAACTCGCCAGGATGTCGACTTTTAAATGCGCTTCTCTCCGACCTCCTGCAGAAACCGCACTCGGCAAAAAACGACAACATAACTAGCATGCATTTTCACATTGATTTCCGATGAGCTTTTAAATTCGAAGATATTTTAAAGAAAACATGCACAAAATGTGCTTTCGTCTACTCGTTTGGTACAAAATTACCTTTTTCTTCACATTGCATGCACGAAGAAGTTTAATTGTGAGAATTTTTAAGAGCGTGCAATGTACTTTCCTACAGCATCGGACCCGTCCGTTTACCAATGCTCCTCATGAAATGTAGAACATAGTCCGCATCCTTTGCAAAATTTTATGAACTCTATCTGGTATCTTTTTAAAGGCGTAAAGGAATATGTGATTTATCTTACGCGGAAAGCATGCACCTTGTAGACTGAAATCGCTAAGCGCCAATGTAACGGCGAGATCAGGCTCAAAATTATTCGTGAATTTGAAAATTGCTTCAACAACTAGATATACCCTGTCTTCGGGCATAAAATACAAAGACAATATGATTTTCTGCAAAATGAGTAAACGACAGCATATTTTCGTGCATGTTTTCTATAAAGCATAATGAGTTCATAAGACCAGCGGAAATTAATGTAAAAAATACTTGTTACTTAAGTAGTCTTTTTTAACAAGGGCGGCTTTTACAAGAGGTCAGAGAGAAGTGCATTCATAAGCCGACATCCTGGCGAGTCCGAAATATTATGGAGATTATGCCGCACGATAAGCAATACAACAACCACACCTAGGTAATTCTTCCTAGTCGAAAACGTATTTCAGAATTTCGACCAACATTTCATGAGATTGGTCCCTCACTGCATGTGGTTTATGCCAGAACGGCGGCGGTAAAATGAAATCAGAAGATTTAATAAGGAACCACTGAATACTACTTAGCATGTAACATAATCTCAAGATATTACTGTCCCGCCAAGATGCCGGTTTTTGAATTTGTAAAAACACATTTAACGAAAAATGAACATTAAAGTAGCGTGCGTCTTCCCATTGGTGTGCGCCGTCAATATGAATAAAAAAATATTTTGCTGGAAGCATACACGAAATTATTCTTTCTTGCACTCTTTTTGCAGTTATTTAAGTTTTCAGAGGCTTACTCGAAGAAGAAGTAACTTCTAGTTTTCAAGTACCTTTTCGATTCCCTACCTGCCGTTGTAGTTGCGTCTGAGCTCGCAAAGCACAAGCTGTACATTTCTCATTTGGAAAATTAATACTACTAATAAGGCGCCCTACCTGTATTTGGAACTTTTATTGCGCAGATGCCATAAGAGACACAGTTTTCATAAGGAGCCTTTATAAACAGACGGGTATGAATCCTTGCATAGACATTGCGCGCTCCGAAAAATCTTATAATTACACACGTTTGATACAGAAAGACTTACTTGCCGTAGGTGTGAAGTTTGAGGGGGGGGGGGGGGTACTTTACCACAATAAGGGCAACAGAGGAACCAATGTTATGCATGCTTCCCATAAAATAATTTGGATTAGCCAGGATGTGCACAATAAATGCAAAAACTGAATATCTCTTAAGTATTCATCTTTGAACAGTGTGAATGTTGCAGGTGGCCAGATGGGCGCGCATTTAAAACCCGTCAAACTGGCGTGGCCTAACTATCTTGGGAGTATGCTGCATGCCTAAATAATCACTTCTAATCATGATTATATTTCAGAATTTCAGTTAAAGTTTCGTGAGAAAGGGACCTTTTGGGGTTTTATAAAACGCGGGTTACAATGGTGTCGGAGCATCGCCGATGGTTTCCTAGCAGTTTTTGATCGTTAAAAAAAATAAAGGCAGGCGAAACTGTGAATTACTCCAGAAAATCGGGAGGAACTAACAGCAGGGTCACAGTCAAAACACGGAGAAGATACTACTAAATTACAGCAGATATGCGGTCTCATGAAATGATAGCCGAAATTCTGAAATGCACCTGTGACTAGAAAAGATTACTTAAGTAGGGCTTTTAAATGTACTTCTTTTCAATCTCCTGTAGAAAGCGTGCTCGGTAAAAATGACTACTTAAGTAACATGCATTTTTCCCATTGATTTTCGATGGTCTTGCAAATTTAAATATATTTTATGGAAACCATAAACAAAAATATGCTTTCTTTCAGTTAATCAATAGAGAATCACGTCTTCTTTATATTTTATACTTAAGGAAGGAGTATAATTAGATTTTAAAAAAGTTTCCAATTATGAGACTTTTTAAGACCGCGAAATTTCCATTCACATAGCATCGTACCTGGCCGTTTACCACTGCTCCTCATGAAATGTACAACATGGTCCGCATCCATTGCAAAATTTTATAGACTCTGTATGATACAGTGCGTGATCTATCTCATGAAATGTTGGCTGAAATTCTGAAATACGATTTCGATTTGGAAGGATTACTTGGTCGCGGCTGTGATACTGATTATCTTAAGGCATACTCTTATAACATTTTGGACTCGGCAGGATGTCGGCTTTTAAATGCACTCCTTTTCACTATCCTGTAGAAAGCCTACTCGGTAAAAAATGATTACTTATTTAGCATGCATTTTTCCCATTGATATTCGATGGTCTCGGAAATTTAAATATACTTTATAGAAACCATAAACAAAAATATGCTTTCTTTTAGCCAATCAATAGGGAATCACGTCTTCTTTATATTTTATACTTAGGGAAGGAGTATAATTAGGTTTTAAAAAAGTTTTCTAATTGCCGAGAAATTTGGAGCCTGATCATTCGTTGCATTAGTGCTTAGTGATTTCAGTCTACAAGGTGCACGCGTTCCGCGTAAAGAAAATCCCATATTTTTCTATGTCATTAAAAAGATATCAACAGGGTCCATAAAATTTTGCAATGGATGCGGACCATGTTGTACGTTTCATGAGGAGCAGTGGTAAACGGCCAGGTACGATGCTATGTGAATGGACATATCGCGGTCTTAAAAAGTCTCATAATTGGAAACTTTTTTAAAACCTTATTATACTCCTTCCATAAGTATAAAATATAAATAAGACATGATTCTCTATTGATTGACTAAAAGAAAGCATATTTTTGTTTGTGGTTTCTATAAGTCATATTTTAATTTGAGAGACCATCGAAAATCAACGGGAAAAGTGCATGCTAATTAAGTAGTCATTTTTTACCGAGTACGCTTTCTATAGGAGATTGAAAAGAAATGCATTTAAAAGTCCACATCCTGCCGAGTCCGAAATGTTATAAGAGTATACTACAAGATAGTAAGTATTACAACCGCGACCAAGTAATCCTTCCTAATCGAAAACGCATTTCAGAATTTCAGCCAACATTTCATGAGATAGGTCACTCACTGTAAGTGCTTAAGCAGTATGATTTTTTCCCATTGATTTTAAACACTCTTAAAATTCAAATGTATTTTGTATAAAAAATGCGTAAAAATATCATTTCTTGTGTTTATTTGGTAGAACATAAAGCCATCTCTAAGTTTTACGCTAAAGGGGCATCTTTAGCTTTTAAAACGTTTCCAGTTGTAGGTTTTTGTAGACCGGTAAATGTTTTCCCACAAAGCATCACATCTGTGCATTTATTAATGCTGCTTGTAAAATATACATGAACCACATCCGTTAAAAAAATTTATGAGCCCTATAAGATGACTTCTTAACGGCATATGTAGATGTGT